CACTGCAACTTCCACCTCCCAGGCTCAAGCGATTCTCCTGCCTCAGCCTCCCAAGTAGCTGGGATTACAGGCGCTGGCCACCATGCCCAGCTAATTTTTGTATTTTTGGTAGAGATGGGATTTCACCATGTTGGCCAGGCTGGTCTCGAACTCCTGGCCTCAGGTGAATCACCCGCCTTGGCCTCCCAAAATGCCGGGATAACAGGCATGAGCCACTGCACCCAGCTGCTTGACCCCATTTTTAAAGTTTCTTGTCACTCAAGCGTTCGGTTCTAGTCTCTGAAGCAGCATCCTCTGCAATGAGTTAAAATGTTGAAGGAGAAAATACATGGTTACTGAAAACTCCACCTGGTATTGCAAAACAAACTGAAACCTCTTAGACATCTTGCTCTAATCCAAATATTCCCTTTCAAAGCTGCAGTGGGGAGTGTCAGCTTTCCCCAATTCACCATGCTCTCTCCTAATTAAAACTTGTCTGAAAGAAGCAGAGCCTCTGGCTGCCAGCAGCTCCATATAAGGAAGCTTTGTGTTCGCTAACGGAAAGTGTCATAAATGACGATTTGGCGCGACCTCTGGGGCTGGATCTGAGGGCCAGGGCCAGGAAAGCTCTGAACTGGAAACAGGAGCCTACCCTTGGCTTGATTTCCCCTGGTACACAGGACAGTATTGTTTTATTCAATCTTCAGATGACTTGGGTTCCAATCTGAAGTTTGCCACCTGAAAGAAGGAGGCTTAGGCAGGTTGCTGCTGTCTTCTGAGCCTCAGTTCTCTCATCTGTAAATGGAGAGAGAGGAGTCTGACCTCATACACACAGTGCTGTTCTGAAGGGTGGTTGCAGCATGGATGCCAAAGGGCTTTGTGATGGGCTCCATGTGCCAGCTCTTCACCCCTGGACTGCCAGCCGTACACCTTTGCTCATCCCTGCACCTTCAGCACTTAGAATTTCTGCCCATAGGGTTGGGGAAAGGCACTGTCTATTGGCCAGGATCGGTGGCTCACGCCAGTAATCCCAGCACTTTGGGAGGTGGTGGATCACAAGGTCAGGAGATCGAGACCATCTTCTTGGCCAACATGATGAAACCCCGTCTCTACTAAAAATACCAGAATTAGCTGGGCGTAGTGGCATGTGCCTGTGGTCCCAGCTACTTAGGAGGCTGAATCACTTGAACCCAGGAGGCAGAGGTTGCAGTGAGCTGAGATTGTGCCACTGCACTCCAGCCTGGTGACAGAGCGAGACTGTCTCAAAAAAAAAGAAAGGCAATGTCTATAAATGGTAGTTGCCCGGACTCTTGTCCTTTAAAATAGGGCAGTCTGTACATTGTCCCAAATGGTGGCCTGGTATACAAGCTAGTGTATTTGGCTCATGGTTTTGCTAAATGGCCACGATTAGACTTTTGGCTCAGAGGCCGGACATGGTGGCTCAGGCTTGTAATTCCAGCACTTTGGTAGGCAGAGGCAGGAGGACCACTTGAGCCCAGGAGTTTGAGACCAGCCTGGGCAACACAGTGAGGCCTCGTGTCTACAAAAATGAAAATAAAAAAATTAGCCAGGCATGGTGGCATGCATCTGTAGTCCCAGCTGCTTAGGAGACTGAAGCAGGAGGATCCCTAGAGCCCAAGAGTTTAAAGCTACAGTGAGCTACGATCATGCCACTGTTCTCCAGCCTGGGCAACAGAGAGAAACCCCCACCTGTAATATAACAATAAAATTAATTTAGGTCAGCTGAACTTTGGAGACCCCAAGGTCCAGGCTCTTGTCCATGATTCTGCTGTGCCACAGACTGAGTGACAAATGATGTTCATGGGTACCACACACTCCTGGGCCTGATGTCCTGGTTTTAATTCTCTCTGATTTCACCCAAGAAGGCGTGTAGAGGAGGAAGAAAGATCTGTATGGTGTTAATGTTTTGTTTTGTTTTGAGACAGTCTCTCTCTGTCTCCCAGGCTGGAATATAATGGTGCAATCTCAGCTCACTGCAACCTCCGTCTCCCACGTTCAAGCAGTTCTCCTGCTTCGACCTCCTAAGTAGCTGAGATTGCAGGTACCCAGCACCACGCCTGGCTAATTTTTTGTATTTTTAGTAGAGGTGGGGTTTCGCCCTGTTGGCCAGCCTGGTCTTGAACTTCTGACTTTAGGCAATCCACCCGCCTTGGCTTCCCAAAGTGGTGGGATTACAGGAGTGAGCCACTGTGCCCAGGCTAATGTGTTTTTTTCTTTTTCTTTTTTTTTTTTTT